GCATTTTCGCGGCTGATAATTCCTGCGATACCTCACAATTTCCAACATCGATCATTTGCGAGTCATTCAGCTGATTGTTCTGTTCTGTCCTTGAGTTGGATTTGACAAGTCTTTTGCTGATAGTGAGAATATATGAAGTCTAGTCTTCAAATAGTTGTACGTTATCATGAGAGAAAAGAAGGCAAATGAGGAGGATAAAGATTTTAAAAAAATATAGGCTGAACAAAGCTATGTAAGAATCCAGGGTGCGACAGTTGTTCCCAGAATGGGAACACTTGAGGAAAGAGCAGTTTTAAAGTCGTGTTTCCCTCCCAAAAAAATTCCATAGATGAGAAACGCTGGTGACATGAATTTTTGAACTTGTAAATGACGCAACTCCTCGATAAATTGAGTGTTGCTTCCATGTTGTGCTTCTGCTGGCCAGACTGAGTTCAGTTGGGCGACGTGACAAACTTCAGTATATATAAGTTAGACTTAAAAGAAGTGCAAGAACTTGTATTATAGACTGTCCAAGTGTTCTTATCCTTCTCATTGTCATGTAAGGCATACAGCACCTGTAAACGTCACATCTTTCGGAACCCGTCATCCCTTTGGTCGACCTCTGCGATCCCAGTTATGTGAATGATTGTCATTTTACTCCATTTCCGTCAAGCGTGATCTGGCTTTGTTCTGAGATATAGCATCAGGAACCTTTGTGCCATGCATAGAGGAAAGGTTAATAAGCGGAATTCCGCCGCGCTTTCTTCCCTTAATGCTAAAAGCAGTCTCATAATATTTGGAAAGATGCAGCAAAGTACTTTTTGTTCATTAGCCGACTAAAGCTTGTACGAAGGTGGCTCATTTTAATTAGAAAATGTGAGCCATTTACTTATCGATTATTTAACTTTTATTGAATCTTGGAGAAACAAAAGAGTATACACTATGTGAAAGGCGAACGGGCTTTGATGACTACTACTTCATGTAGGGATGGGTCTATTGAAAAGACATTGCAAGTCGTCATTTGGACCCGAGTTGTTGATTTCTAAATGACTTGTCGTTTCGAAGGGTCCTGGCTGCTTTGCCTCATTTGTCGATTATCACCTCAATACACAGGGAACCTGACTCAAACCGCCGTTTGATTCGCATGCTTTGCCCCTCCCCACATTACACCAAAATCACTTGAGAATAATTCCTTCGTTGGCTCCTCGATAGAATATTTTCTACCGTTAAAATGAAATTTCAAAGATTTATTGAATGGAAGTTTGACATTTATTGAGTGACGAAATTGGTCCTTTACCTCAGTTTGGGTTGAGTTGGCCGAGTTTTGATGAGTTGCTATTCAGTACACGCTATACTACAGTTTTTTTTCAAATCTTCACTGATAGTGGCACCTTAGCTCATTCAGCTAATGTTTGTAGTTCTTGTGTCACACTAAAGTATATCTCTATCTAATATATTAGCAATATGACTAAATGTCTACTAATGATCATTACATCGTAGTAATTCTGCGAGCGAAACATACACAGGCGATGGTAGTGGGCCATTTTATGTTATGACCTCAAATCTGCTCTGTAGGAAGAACCAGTGAGATAATTTCTAAAACTGTTACCCATGCCATGCCGTGGATAATTGAACATCATCATGCTTTACGATTCAATGGTTAGCGACAAGAAGAAGTAAATATGCGCATATAGCTTTACCTAAATTACCAGCGTTTCAGTCGACCTCAGAACACACCTGATTAAGATCAAATGAAGTCGATCAAAATGTTGGCATTTTTAGTAGTGCTATGCATATTCAATTCCTCGTGTCGTAGCCATCGAATCGGAACTCATTATGATGAGCTAATGAGGTATATATT